CACACAGACTGCAAGTTTTTTTTGGTAGGCTCAAGTGTAGTCCGCGATTTTATAGACTTGTGTTTTTCTTTTAACCTCACCCACTTGGTTTCTTCCCCTGCAAGGATCACTCAAAATAGTTAAAATATTATTAATTTGGCACCTGTCACTGATCTTTTTTCTAGTTAAACACTTATTCCTTCTGAATGGCATTAGCGACCACAAGTCACTTCATTGTTTTCTTGATATTTAACCGACAAGGTTGACCTGTATTTCTAAAAAGATAGGTTTGTACCGCAAGGGCATCCATAACATGATTAACTCCAAGCTCTCTGATTATTTTGCTTATTTCAAAGAAACCTTCAATACCTTTCTAAAAAAAAATTGACAATCCTTGAAGACAACATTATATGTACATATTGAACACCACTTACCGTGCGCAGCAATTCGAACTACTGTGTCTAAACCGTGGTTTAATAATTCACTTCGTTTATTTAATACAAAAAAAGCATTTTCAGGAGCGCTAAACAAAAAATCGCAAGCTTGGTCTAAGCATGCATCTTGCTCTTATGAATGTAAAAGTATAAGGAAGGGGTGTAAGCGCACATTTTTTCAACAAACTCTACCTAATATGATACTAAACTACCCTCCCAAATTTTGGAGCTTTGTTAATGAAAAACCCATATTCGGAGTGAGTTTTTTCTTTACTGCTTTACGATTGACGACCTCGCTTCAATTTTGAATCCGGCTATTTTAAATGATAGTGTAGGACAAGTAAGAGTTTATGGTGGCTCAATTGGAGAGTGAGTCTGGACGAAATTAGATGAAATGACGTCCTCATGAGCTCAGATAGCCTTCGCAAAACTTGACACACGCAGAAAGAATGGTCTCAGTGTGTTCTCAACATATTTGTAGAATTTTTTTAGAACTCGTCTTTGTGATTGTTTCTGACAGAGTGCCTGAATCCTGGAAGGTTTACGCTACTGTGGTGTGGTATTGCCATTTTTTGATATAGGAATATCGGCTTTTGTGCTTTTTGTTTTTTTTTGCTTTTTATTGATCGAGTTTGTGGCAGACCGATTGCCAGCGATGCTATCCGCGTTTGGAAAGATGTCGACCAACCTCTTTCTGGGCTCTGCGCGCGCTGGGAAGGTCTTCAAAATATTTTATCCGGCGATATTTCCGTTATGCATGACTTCGAATAGCCCGTAGTCGTTCGAAAGCAGCGTCAACACTGAAAAGTTTTTTTTTTTTCTGTTACCATTTTTGCCGCAATTATTGAGCGACCCTTATACGCGGGCAGGATAATATTGGGGACCTTTAGCATACCGCTGCCGCGTTCCGAGTACCGCACTACCGGAACCTTTAAAGCATGCTTCTAAGGGCGTGCACCGCGGCCACGATATCACCCGGGCGCTCGCTCCAAAGCATGTTTCAAAGGCTCCGGTAGTGCGGTACTCGGAACACGGCAGCGGTTTGCTAAAATTGCCTATTATCAGCCAGATATCATTGAAAACTGATAAAAAATCAAGCGAGTACACGACACCTCATGATTCTTACTCGAACTGAAGAACCATCATGAATTGTTTGGGACGATCGTCACCTGCTCAAACTTCCGTGGTTTTCTACTACGGTGAAACAATGTAATAAAAAGGAATCTGTCCAAATAAAATAAAAAACACACAAATTTACAATTTCGTTTAAACACCTGAGACCTTCCTGATGCCGAACTTCTGTCGTTAAGCCTAGTTCACATGCAGCGGTTTTGGCCCTAGAGCGGCGCGATTTCTGCCGTCGCGGCGCTCTGGCCAGCATCAGCAATTCAGTGGCACGAGCGCCGCGACGGCAGAAATCGCGCCGCTTAAAGGGCCGCCCACACTAGCGAGAAAACGCGCGTGGCACGCCGATCGCGGCAAGTAACAAAATGTCGCCGAAGCACAGTCAGCGCCACGAGCGCGTGCAGAGACACGCCCTTTATCTTGCCGCTTAACCGATTTATCGGCGCGCCGGGCGCGTTTTCTCGCTAGTGTGGGTGGCCCTTTAAGGGCCACCCACACTAGCGAGAAAACGCGCTCGGCGCGCCGATCGCGGCAAGTAACAAAATGTCGCCGAAGCACAGTCGGCGCCACGAGCGCGTGCAGAGACGCGCCCTTTATCTTGCCGCTTAACCGATTTATCGGCGCGCCGGGCGCGTTTTCTCGCTAGTGTGGGTGGCCCTTTAGGGCCAAAATCGCTGCATGTGAAACACGCTTTCAGGGTACTATAGAGCTTCACGTTCTGCAGCAGCTTCACCTTGGTTATGTATTCATGTGCTTCCCAAGAGGCTAGAGCTGGTGCTCAGCGAAGATTTATAGAAAAGAAAACGAAAAAATCTCACGCGCGCTACGCATGTCGACCCAACGCAGTATAGCTCACAGTCCTATTAAGCAAGTCAAGATAACTCAATAACGAAAGAAAAAGATAAGCCAAACTGGCTGAGCCAAAGACTGATTGGTTAACTTGTTAAATATTAATGTGTGAACAAACTCTCTAATGCAAAAGATCTAGAGCTCTTGAGGAACATTTTATCGTGTCGCTTTTAAATGTGCGTGTGTGTGTAAAACGTTTAATAAGAAAAAAAAATGAACCGGTCGCACTTGCGCGTGAGGTAGTCTTTAAGTGCATAGTGTGTTCTTTTTGTTTTGTGTTTACTTAAAATTTACGCACGTGTTTAAAGATAAAAGCGACGTTCTCGTTGTGGAGAACATAGCGGAGGATAAAAATGTATCTAAGCGAACAGATGTCCCACGTTAGTTTGCACGTAACATCCAGCAACCAAAATGGTTTGTTCCCTCGAAGAAATACAGTAGCCCGTATCTCCATATGATGCTAACCGTGTTTATAAAAAAGGCAATAGGGGCACGTCACTTACCTTGGTCATCATTCGATGCCGCTCGGCATGTTTGAAGCAGGACGATAAATAATGCGATACAAGCTTAACCCAAGATAGAAACGGGGTTTGTTCTCATCACGCATAAAAAGACAACAATGATTATTTTGGTTATTTTTTACAGTACAGAGAGCTGTTAAGGGCTAGTTTCTTCAGTTTCGTGTCCATGGACAAATAAATCTTGACACAACGCTCTGGACACCTACCGCCATCTATGAGCGACGGCGGCAACCAGACAATCGACTTGCCGGTTGTCTCGTTGCCGCCGTCGCTCATAGATGGCGGCACATAGAACAGCTCCGCTGCTCTTCCTTCTTCACTAGAATGGAAAAGCTAAAAGGTTTTTATTAATAGAAGAAGACAATAAAATAGAAAGGCGACATCGGTTATCGGTATAGCGGCTGTCGTTTGCATTGCATTTTTTGTTGCATTCATTTAGTATTTTATTGATGACTGTCCGACGTCCCGGCGTAGCTGAGAAATTGGAGGATATTGTTGCATAAACTTGGAAGTCAAAGAAGTTTTTCGATGACTTTATCGCTATTTAGTATTCTTGTTAAAGGTAATAATAACTAGAAGCTTGTTGAAGGCAATAATAATTTAAAAAAGCTTCTTAAAGGTAATAATTATTAAAAGCGTGTCAAAGGTAATTATAATTATAAGCATATAAAAATAATACTTACAAGCTTGTTAAACGTAATTATTATCAAAACCGTGATAATAATCATGAAAAGCACACACTTATAATAAAAGAAATTAGCGCGATACTTTTACTCCAAATGACCTTCAGAAGAAACCGTGTGTGAGAAAAGAAAACAAAATGCATTTAATATGAGATTACAGTTGAAACTCCAACGTCGAGAAACGAAATTTAGACGCAGCGAGATTTCATTTTTTATTGACCTCCACCTCATATTCAAATCCCTTTCCAATTAGAGAACTTATGTCTTTAGAACAGAGGACTTATGCCTTTAGAACAGAGGAGCGTGATAATTTGGCGTCTGAGCGGCAATGATATTCGCTAGACCCATAGCCTCCTCATTCGCCAATCTTTGCGATTGTCACAAAATCACAGGTAGCTCGACAAAGTAGAGTCCGTGTCCAGAAAGGAATACAAAACCAACTATTGCCAACAGATTCCTGGTATAACATGAAAGGTGGCGTCCGCCATTACGTGCGAGACGGGAACAGCGCTCCATTAACGTGTGCTCACGTATCCAATCGCACACTGCTTCTCTTCCCCTCTCACTGCCCGTCTCACTTTGTGAGCAAGCTAAAATTGGTGCACAAACACAAGGCTTGGCTTTATAGAGTGATTTCACCAAGCGTTCGGCGCAAACGTGACTCCGCCATAACCTTCCTCGCACAGCAGGCAGGTTGATGTGCACGAGACGGCTTATGCCCTCCATTGCAGAAAGACTATGCTTGCCGTCAACCATTAAGGAGTTTTCGAATAAAGTGTCCTACGTTTTCGGTGCCCCAGCAGTTTGGAGCTGCGCAGTGCTACGCGCCAAGCTGTTCCGGTGGCCCAAAGCTTTGGGGCCTCCTATTCTAAAACTCTCAAAGAGAAAGAGAGAGAGAGAAATAGAAATTAAATAAATTATGATTTTGGAGATATTAATACTTTCTGTTTTGTGGTACACCGTCAAGGCAAGCGCAGCTTCCAAAGTGCTGCAGCCCCGCGCTGCTGCAAGAGAGCCTGGCTTCGTCTTGCGTCTAATTCGCATGCGCTCGCGCAACTATAGCTTTGACGGAGTTGGAGTACTGCGGAATCTAGAACGTAGCACAAAAAATTGGTCGAAGGGTAAAAAGCTTTCTGAACACATCGCAGCAGCGGTGGCTAAAGCCCCCAACAGGAGAGCGACGAAAACGGGCGCTACACACCGGTTTCCCTAGCAACCACCGAGGACGCTGTGTCGTCGCGGCACGGCATAGGTCCACGTCATAGCGTCCGCGGCGGTTTCTATGGTTAACGCACCGCGACGTCCGTTTCCGCCGCTCATGTGTTGCGTGCTGCAGCCACACTGGCTGGAGAGATCGGTTGACTACTTTCTAACTGGAGTTTAAAAGCCGCCGCGTGCGGGTTCCTTGGCTAATCTGCGCACACAAACATGTCCGGCGTAGCCGAGAATCGTCGTAAATGATGGTGGCTCTGCGGGCGTCTGGGCTTCACGAGTTGCTCCATGTGACCGTAGCCGCTCCGGACGTTCATCGACTTGAGGACCTGGCGGACCGCGGTGGCCGAGGCGGCGGACGCGACGTAGTGGACGGGCGGGAAACCGAATCCGTTGAAGCCCGAGGCCCCGACAAGGGTGTAGGCGCCCATGTTATCCATGAGCAGCCATTCGTTGACGCACACCTCGAAGAGCGGCTGTTTGTCCAGGATGCAGTCCAGGGGGTTGCAGGTGGCGCCCCACACCGTGCTCAGGACGTTGCAGGGGCGCTCATGCGGCGGCTGCGCATGCCCAGATGCTCGGTTAGGGCTCTGTGAGATTTTATACACGCTTTGCGGCCGCTGCGATTCGGCAAAACCCTAACCGACCTTAACTTTTCGTTTCGTCTTACTCCGGTCGCTCAACACTGTGGTAACGAGGCAGGGTGTTGATATCTTAGACACAGTAGTGTCCTTATCTTAAATCAGGTTTTTGTGCATGCCCATCAACCCCCGCTTCAGTAGCTGTATATCTCAGTGAGACACGAGAAGGTCGGCAAGGGCAGTCCTCATCTAGCACGTGTGTAAGGCGTCTATATTCGGTGCCTGGCACGCGTCTCTGTCTGGTGCGTTTACCGCGTCCCAAAAAGTGATGCTTCGATTTGTGCCTTATGACGACACCGAAATGTTAAGCTAAAACGCCTACATTTCAAACAGTTTCCAATTTGTCGATCGGGATCACGTGGCTCAAGGGCCGCTTGTGCGATAGGAGCTGCAAGGAGGTGCCAAAAGCGTTGATCGTCTGCAAACGCCTCCGCCTTTCTACCTGCTTTTCGCCTCGCCAGATAAACTAACGTATACCCGTACGTCTCTACCCGGACAAAAATATTCTGCAACAAAAACCAGCTGCCTACGCGCTCACATTGAGGGGCCGTATTCCAATGTCCATGAATCGAAACAGGTCCCTGTTGATGCAGTTGCATAGGCTCTCGTTGATAAAGATGTCCTTGTGGCTGAGAATCTCACCTGCAATGCACCACGTTAAAAAAAAAAAAAATTCTTAGGAGCAATAAGCGCTTAAGGTACCGTTGGTGGCTGTGAAACTCGCCGCTCCCGGTCAATTAAGACTATTTACAAAGAAGTACAAGCTAAGAATCTGTTAGGAGCCCCGCCTCCAGCACGCGCTCCCTTCCTTCCTTCGCGCTTTGGCTGGGTGTGCTCAAGAGACCTCAAAAGTGTCACATAATGTAGAAAGTCCGTCCTGGAGGCGGAGCTTCAATGCAATTCTTAACTTGTATCTGACCATAGCATTCCTGTGGAGCACGAAAATTTGTCGCGTTAAATTACAAACACCGGCGACTGGCTGCACTGCCAAGAAGTTTTATCTTGAAAAGCGAGCAACCTATTTCTCAGGGCTAATTTAGCTCATGGTCGCTGAAATTTAAAGCACGTACAGCGTGTTGAGTCTGGAGCTTGTTATTATCGGTTAATAGCCAATGATATAACAACATTCGCCTCTAAGAGCGCCTAAGATGGCATCATAATGCGACGAGCGCGACCATTATTAGCCCCATCACGCATTTCTCTTGCTCTGCAGTGTACAGATGTGGACGAAGCCAATAACATCACTTGCGCGTGCGACTTCGGTCTACGCGTAGCCAGATGCTGATAGTCGTTAATGTCGGAATCAGCCCACACTCCGGAGAAGTGGTTCCTCGCGCTGCCGCCACGACGCACTACGGCAGCAGCGAGGGGAACCACTTCTCCGGAGTGTCGACCTCTTCCGAGATTAACGACGATCAGCATCCGGCTTTTGACCTTGCGATTCTTTACAGCGATGTCCTCAGCTGTGCTGCTGATTGCCGGATGCTGTGGCCGGATGCCGTTATGACGCGTGCGTGCAGTATATGCGAGGACACGCGCGGTTGTTGGATTAATTCGAGGCTGTACCTGACAGACGTTTCGTTGGTCTGTACGCAACATTCGAAAATTGCACACGTTTCTACTCCTCAAACAGATACCTTTTGGAGAGCTACAAAATGATCACAGCCAAAGTTTTGCTACTTGATTCTTACTAGCTGGGCTCTTTAGGGAAACGTGGTATATAAAGTTCTGCAGTGGTTTTTATCCTGAGTTTATTTATACCGGATTCTGCCAGTTTCCTTCACGGTTTATACGTATCTTAAGCTGTAAAGGCGATGCACGCATGCAGTGCCCAAGGAAGTGAGAGTCATTACCGCATACAGTATATTTAACTTCATTGTATTTTTGTCCAAACTCACCGTTGATTTCGATGTCTTTCCTCCTCTCGGCGACCACTCTCGTGGCCAGTGTGTATGCTGAGGTTACGAAGAACTGTCCCGGCTCAGCGATCACCCGCACTCCGCTCGAGGCCGGAAAGTACTCGTCGACGGCCACCCGGATCGTTTCACAGAGCTGAGAGGAAACGAGTGCCAAGTTGACAGAACTTGAAGACAAGAACCAACTTCATAAACTGCCCTCCTTGTTTCTACAATGGTTTACCTGTTTACGGTACTTCTTGACAAGCGTTTTCAATCCAAAGACCTTTATAAAATCGGTGATCCTGCTTAAGCCGAGGATCATGTGCAGTCAGAACCGACATCTGATTGGACGATTCGATAAAATCCTAAAGTCTGAAGGACTTTGAAGTGAACGTGAAACAGGGGAATAGGAATGGCATGCTCATGGAAGAAGTACCTACGTCATGTTGCGTGAAAAATCTGGGAGACAAAGAGTTCCGCGATGCAGGAGGTAACGAGAGATTAATTTATGGGACTTGTAAGAGTTGTAGCGTCAGCACACAGCCTATTCGAATTCAGGCCTTTCCAAATGAAGTGCTGACCCGCCACTAAAATACCACTTCATATCTCCGCAGAAGTATAGCAAGATCTCCAACTTTGAGAAAATGGCCATGTCGTTCACGTTACAGAACAGAAACGAATCCTTAAAAAAGAAAAGCTGCTCTGTTTGACATACTAGTCTCACAGTATGCGAACTGCCTTTCAAGAAATTGCCTTTCGTAGTACGTTTCATTAAACCTACGAATATATGCAATTTTGAAAAAAACAAAAACACAAAAGACATTTGTTTTCCCAGGGGAAATCAAGATATTGCTCTCGACCATACCGGCTAACATTTAACAAAATGAAATAAATAAAAATGGGGCCACGCCTGAGTCTCACCTTCAACAGCCTGTCGTGTGACCGAAGACCGCCGGTAAATCCGCCTCCGATGTCTAGCACGGTCATCGGGTGCCCGATCCTGATGCCGACGTTGAAGACGCTCCTCGCCTCCGCGATCGACCGAGCAAAAATGTCGGGACACCGGTAGGCCGCTCCGACGTGGAACCTGGAGACCACAGACAGTGATGGAGTAAGACTACGGGAAACTAAGTTGATTTTTGGTGTTTCTTTTAGCTGGAGGACACTTCAATGAGCCTGTTTCCCCCAGTTGAAATGATTTATGAGCATCAGCCTTGGAAGTCGGAATGCTGTGGCTCCTCTAAAGGTTCGTTCACACACTTGGGACAGATTATAAACGATTCCCTCAAGACCTCCTGTGATCTCTTACGACGGGGAGAACAGATTGGCGCCATATATCGGATAACCGTGGAGCACTTGCAATGCCCGAATTGTTTTTGTTTTTTTCGTGCATTATTATTTCTTGTTAGGCTCGAAACTATGTTTTGACTATGTTAAAACCGACCGTTTCTCATAGGTAGTTCGTACATTTGGTCTCGCAAAACCTCCACTCTAATGAAGTGCTGTACCAGAGAGGCTTCACAGAACGCGCCAGCGTCGCTAGTGCTTTTTCTTTTTCTATTAGAGATTACAAGCACTTGGTCGTGAGCAAACTCAAGTGTGTGACCCAGCTTTAACACTCTGTGAACCACAGTGACTCGCAAAAAGAGCAGCGTGGGGGGCTGTAGTATAGACCACGAACGGCATCGGAAAATTTAATCAAATTCTGAGTTTTAACGAAGACTATTGAGTCCGAGTGTACAATAAGACTAACTGTGTGCTTGCGTAAATGTGCCTCGAACTTCTCGAAAACATTAAAAACCACTGACTTGAAAATTTATTTTCTTTTTTTTTTTTAATTGTGTTTAGGACTAGGAACAATAAATCAGTTGATTGCGTAAACAGTCCTTTGCTCATTGCAGGTGTTCAAAAGGAGGAATCAAGTCGAAGCGTTTTGATTAACGTAAATATGAGGATTTTTGTTTTATAAAACTTTATTATCAAATACCAAGCCAATTATGGCTAAAATTCGAAGTGTATCTGGGGGTCCATCGTTTCCAAAAGCTATTAATTTGAAACTGGTAACATTATGCGAGAAACACCCATGTAATGGTGGCCACAGGGTTGAAATCTGGTTCGATTCGATAAACAAACCTCCATGCTTCTCTTAATTTCGCTTCACATTGATTTTGCTCTTTTAGAAAAAATAACTCCTCATATGTCTCGCACGTGTCAGACGCGCACACCAAAAACAAAAGCATCAAGTAACCGCAGTGCCATGAAACAGTCCAAACACACGAACCCTTAACGTCTAAACTGATAGCTCGCGATAAAAAACAAGACTATTATTGTATGTCGGATATAAAACAGCCGGTTACGAGGCAGGCAGACGTACGCAATGCCAACGACGTTGAAACCCATATAGCGAGCAATCTGCAGCAGGTTTCCGGCCTCCTCGAGACGACAACCGAACTTGTTGTTCATCGTGATGCCGCTGCCGGTTTCGTTGGATGCAATTCGAAGCAGCAGTCTGAAGGGAAGACCAACAAATATCCAACTAAATTTATGACGAAAATTATTAACTACACTATCGCCTTGTCAGAAACATTATGAATGCACAGAAAGGTAACCAGAAGCTCGAATGAATGAACGCGGCTATAGTAGCAGCTACGAAATAATGTTACTCTTACCTGAGTTGTACGAGTACAAGGGTCATCTAAGTGTCTCAAAAAGTAAATAACGGCAAACTACAACTCAAACGTAACATAGGTGTGACCAACCCTTGGAAGGAAATCTCCGCCAGACATTATGCTACATTTATTTCTTTTTGTTACCAGTTTAGAACTTGTGTTAGTGTGGCGCTATCACTGTGTCATGCGGAACAGGTTTAAAATTATCTAAAACCAATGACCTAAAGTAGCCCGCGATGTGCCGATCACCATTGAAGTCCCGCTCTTTAGAAAGTAAGTACACGAATTAAGTGGAGTTCAAGACGTAAATTATTACGCACTGGCGTAAGTATTAGGAAAGCGCAAAAGTTATCAAAGTAAGCTTAAAGGTAGAAATGTAACGTAGTAGCTACCATAAGACGCTTAGATAGGTTAGGGTTACTCAAGCCTGATTCGCACGGATTGGTTGCAAGTGCGCCAACAAATAAATAATGACAAAACAACAGCAGCTTAAATGTGAAAAACGCCTGGAAATAAGTTTTCACGAAGAATATGCGAGTCATCGTTTTTGTTGTATTTTTTCCCACTCTTTGGCTAGCTTTGCTTAGTCTGATAGTATCTGTCTGTCGTTTGGCACGCGTTAAAGGTGCCCCGATTCCAGGGAATTCTGAAGTGTACCAATCAACACTAAAGTCCCGCACTTTAATAACCATTATGAAACTGCACCACTCACTCAATCTATATGTACATGACGTTTAATATTCATGCAGAGACCCGTCTTATGTCCGGAATGAAAAAAACTTCAATGAGTGTCGTAAACTCAATGAAAACAAAATAGACCTGACAATGATCTCAGTACCGGGCGTTCTTGTCACTGATCTTGCCGAGTTCCTCCATGCAGTCGAAGGTCATGAGTGTGACGCCATGCTCGCTGGCGAAGTCGAGGTGGGACGAAGACTTGATCGTGTTGGCGTACACGATGCGGTCGGGACTGACGCCCATCTCCAGAACCATCTTGATTTCACTCTATAAAAAAGAAACGAATAGTACAAATTTATAAAATATTTAAGTATTTTTAAAGTTTGCACAGTGGTTCAGTGATTAGTTGAGTTCGTTCATATGCTACTTCAAAAAACGGCCATTTCAAAAAATATTGAGCGTTTTTTTTTAAATTTAATTAGTTGTTTACTGGTTGCAAATGAGCAGTTTGTTATTTTAGGTGTACGGAAGTATAGTACGACGTAAAAAAATAAAAGTTGTTATTTTGATGTTAGCCTTTAGTTTTTTTGAACAAACATTCGAATGATGCTCTCCAGCAACATACCAAATGCAGGCTAGAAGAAAAAAAAAACATTACTACGAGAGAAGCACGTCGATCTTTCGACGTCATGTGTGTTTCACATGTCGGTATAATTACCTAACGTGCTGCTGCTTTCGCGCTACGCTATTTGGAACTTGCAGCATTTGCCCAACAATGACGTCAACGCAATTTCTCTCGTTTGCCTGAGGTTGTGAGGGACATTCACATATGGCGCGTCGTGTTTCCGCTCCACAACCTATACAACCGATAAAGCAAGCGAGCCAGTAAACCAGCTGGGAAGTCCGCAGACGGGTACAATACTCGTTTATATCGAAATCAGCAGGAGTAAGGATTGAACCCAGAGGTTAGAGCCAACCCTTGATACAGAGGACACACAATTTTCAACTTTCACACAATAGTACCTCGAAAGAACAAGAACCCCAAGGGCTTGCGTGGCAATTGCTGAACTGCTCATACATCATACAAAAGAGTTCGCGGCAAACTTGACAAAATCATCTGCGGACAGGCCTGAAGCATATTCGAAGCATGTTCGCTTCATACATATGTATGTACGCTTCGAAGATGTCTGCCCTAACAGATTTTTGTATTATCTATCTGATAGGGTCGACACAAGGGAGGCACGCACCTCCGACAGTGCCTGCGTGAAGACTGCTTTTTGTATGATTTTGTAGCAGTGTGACCGTGGGTTTAGGTTTGTCGAATCGGTAAATTGTTTGGTGCGTTTAATACTGCTTGGCCCGTCTCTTTCTTTACGATAAATCCTCCGACGAACAAAAGTTTTGATGGATTTCCTTGAAGGAAAACACCCGCTGAGACTTCTCGAACACATATGCACCGAGGGTGATAGCGCAAGTTTTTGTTTGATAAACATCCCGGCCGTCGTGACGCTGCTCTCGAAACCTCCGATTGAACCGACCTCCGCTGTACTACTATAGCTTTTGTGGCAGGCTAAAAATGGCAGGAACATATTTTAGTTACCCCACCTCCAGAACGCGCTTCCCATAGTCAATAACAAGTTAAGAACAAAGGAGGACATTTTCGGTTGTCCCTCCACCCAGGGTGCGATTTCTACAGTCATCGAGTGGACCAGAAAATAAGGTCATCTATAGTTCCTGTGCCCGTCCTCCAGCATGCGCTGTGGACTTCCGTCGTGCTTTGGCTGCGCATGCACGCTGGAGGCGCTCAAGACGCCCTGCGCTACTTTGTCAGTCAATGGCATTAAAACACGCGCTGATCTGCCACGTAAACACAGCACGATTATACACCAGCTCGTGTTTAAAAACAATCGCACACTATCAGATGTTTGCGTTTGATAGCACGTGCGGTTCGCTCGTTGCAGCTGATGCAACAAAGATAGGACAAGGTCTGTGACATACTTTATCTCGATTGCTTTTGTGTAACGTCGGAAAAGGGGGGGCGGGGCGGTTTTATGTGACAACTTGTTAAATACCTAAACATAAGTTTTGTTAGATGCACATACGGCTATGTCAATTCAGCAAATAAAGGGGAAACTAAGTAACGCTCTTCGTGTAGCCGAAGTGTTTGTTTTGTTTCTCTATCTGGTTGTCGGTCGTCCTAGCTGTTCGATAACTATGCAGAGTGGCACCAGCATTTAGCAACACAAAGTGCAGGTGTCACTAAGTCTACACTCTAAGAAATGCCTGAGCGTCTGCTTACCCGCAAAACACTCAAAGGGCCAGTATCTGCGATGTACGAAATCAGCTCAGCGAACGATGAGGCGGAACATCCGCTTAGACCTAAAAAAAAGTCTGCGTTGTGGCATTACGCAATGCAATGCGTCATGCTTGCGTTGCGTAATGCCACATATTCCAAAAAATATACTACTTAGAGAGACAACTAAAATTGACCAAGGAATTGTTTAATTTGGAAAATAAACATATGGTTTCACTGAAAAACATGCCTCGAAAACCCCTAAATCAACTCTATTTTAGAAAGATATAACGCAGGAACAGCAGTTTACGGCGTCCTAAAAAAAAAAAAAAAAAAAAAAAAAAAAAAAAAACGTTTAGTTTGGACGCGTTTCTAGTTTTGGGTATCCTATCGGTGCACATCTTTGCCCCCGCGGTACTGCTCCCCGGTGGTCGCGGCGCGAAGCCACCCCCTCGCCTCCCTCGTTGGATGGAGGGATGTATGGTGCACGTGTGTTGCGCGTCTCGGCCGCTAGGGAGCAGGGCCGCGGGCGCAGAGATGTAGGGAGGCTGTAGTGAGGGTGGGCGCAACTCAAAACCTGGAGAGCGTTTGCAATTTAATGGCGGCGCCTGAGGGAGAGCATTCGAGAAAGGATATGCGCCAGTGTTGCCTGCACGAGAGCAGTCGCCCGCTCTGTTGCAACTCTGTTGCTCCATGCGCCTTTCCTCCTCTCGCCTCCCATTGCAAGCAACGAGCGCCTTGGCGCAGCCTCTCTCGCTTCCTTCTCGCTCCGAGAATTGCAAACGTCGAGCGGAGAAAGCAAAGTTGCCAGACAAGCAGCAACGTCCAAGATGGCGGAATTTACCATTTTTCGCGTTAAAAAAATACTTAACCTATCGCAACAAAACTGGCGGCTATGGAAAAGTAATCATTTATACCTTGTGTAAATTATTCAAGCACCTTAATGGGCTTTTATGACCCGAGTTAGGAAAGAAAACGACCCTTTGCCCCATAGACTCCCAGCAAAATTTAGCAATTAAATGGCGTCCATGTCCCGTGATCGCCGATCTAGCAGTTGCACCCACCCTCACTTGAGCCTCCCTACAGAGATGCGCTCCGATAAGAAACCGAAACTTAGAAACGCGTCCAAACTGGGCGTGTTTACATAACCCCGTAAAATGCTGCCCCTACTTTATATTTTTATAAAAAAGACTTTATTTAGTTGTTTTCGATGGTGCTTAGCATGTTTCTCAGTGAAATCATATGTTTATTTTCGCTAATTAAATAATATATATATACAGTCCTTTTGGGGTGCTATCGATATGTCAATAGGACTTCATCTGGTTGATCGCGTCGCAGCTTCAGCCACGCTGTCTGACAACCTATTTGCGGCTGACGTTGGGTTCAGAACCGTCTTGTCCGGATAATATCAAAATTTTCGGGCAAGTTCTATCAACTTTTTTTACAATCTCATTTCCTGCGAAGTATGCAGCTGTTTCCTTTTTTCATTTTCTTCATATGTGCAGATTAATGTTCGATTCCCATGCATTAATCACCGTTACCTCGATGACTGGACGATAGCCAGTCGCACTCATGATTACAAAGTCTTCTGTGAGCTCTTCGGCTACAGATGTTTCGTTTCCTGCTTTGATCGAAAACGTTTACTTCGCCGATCCTAGCTGCAACCTATAGGGTAATTTGGTCGTTACAATTATAACTGGGCTTGCTATACTTTTTGTTCATTTTGTAACTGGAGTTGATTTACAGATAGACGTGGAATGAAAGCGGAAAGGCATATGCCTCGTTTGGCCTGACGCGTGGGTCTGGATTTCACTTAGTTTTACTTAAAATTTCCGTCAAAAACACCGCGCTTTAAAATATTTAGCGATGAAGTAATCTAACGAAACATCTAATTTATGTCTCCCTATCAGCGTTACTTTTTCATTATGATAATTATTGCATGCATTTTTGCCTTCGTTTTTGTACTTCACGTCACCCTATCCCCCTATGTAGTTTCCTCATTGAACTTTTAGGGTCAAATTAAATTAAATGCATATACGTACGACGGACCTTTGTCTCAAAACAAAAAAAAAAACAAAAAAACAAAAAAAAGCGAGAGTCGAACTGCCGTAACGATGTTTTTGCCCGCCTTTCCTTTACTTTTCCTTCTAACATTCGCGAATAAAATCGTCATGATCGCGAAATTGTCAGTGCAACCATGTTCTTTTCAATTCTGCAAGAGACGTATTAAATGTACAGTAATACTCTTTTTGTCCTTGTTCTTTTAAGCGAATATTGTTTATATTCTTGCATATAGTGTATTCGCTTTATAAAACCGCCTAAAATAATTTCCCCTGGGTACCTGAATAGATAAAAATTTAAAAAAAACGACGATTACTAAGCTTGATTGTAAAATCACACGGTATATATTCAACGTTCACACAACTTCGGTAAAGTGTAAAAAAAAAAAGAAAAGTAAGATTGTTCTGGAAAAGAAATTGATTTGTTTTTAACCGCAAAATTAAACATCGCCGAAGTCTCACTTCGCGCCGAAATACACCACTATTTGTCCGGGTCGGGGTAGCAAGGTTTCAGATATAACCATTGTCTTGTTCAAAAGTTCTGAGAGATTATGAAAAAAATGTTCAATGGGAAAGTAATGGCCGACGAGGTCCTCAGATATAAATGTGGAGTCAACCCGCGAGAACGGGTTCCATATTTCTATTGAAAGTTTCAGACAATCACTTAGAACTTTTAAATGAAATATCATATTCTACGGTGACAGCGCAGAGAAACGACCACCCAACAGATACTCCGAAAGACAAGCACACGCGCTGAGTATCAGAGTGTCTTTCTGAGTATCTGCTGTGGGATTATTTCTCTGGGCTGTCACCGTAGAATAGGGTTCACCAACTCGCCCATGCATCCATCGTAACGAGATATCAGTTAGTTTTGAAACTTTGGCATCTGGTCGTGACCGCAAGGGCTGCGATTTGGACGGAGACTAAACGTTCGGCAAGGTGAAGCATTTTTCTTTTTGTTTACAGTGAAAAGTGAAAACAATCACTGTACAGAATGTTATGGCGCGAAACAACTGGCGATGGTTGAATATAATATACTAAAACACCGAGGCTAGAGAGAACGAGTGACGACACGACAGAGGAATTTCTCGGAGTCTTTGAGGAATGTATCGCGTCGTGCCTCGTTCTCCCTAGTCTGTGTTTTGGTCTATTACGTAAACAACTGTTGTTGTTGATGATACATTTTATATATATATATATATCTTTCTTTTTTTTTTCTTTTGGGGGGGGGGGGGGGGGGGGAGGGGACACGTTGTACATTGTTATGCGTCCGATACCGCTATTGAAGAAGCCGACTCATAATACCTCTTCTCTGTTTCAGAAGCGTGTACAGTGCAGACAAAGGTACAGGCGCTTAGAAGTCCAAAGCAGTAAAATAATTAATAGACACCAGCTGAACAACCCAAGCACACAAATGTAAGAAGTAGCATTCACAGCCCTGTTTTCTAGCCTGAAGAAATCCTGTGAACATCAGCTCTCCCGAAGTTTTGAGTTGCAAATATCGAGACTCGAAGACGCGGGCTACCCGCGACATGTAATTGCCTCCGTGTGCGAAAGAATTTGCCGCACCATCAAGACGACTTGCGGACGCAACGACCCTTCCACACAGCAAAAGAAGAAAAGTAGACCGTTTGGGGTTGTTCCATATATTCATGGGATTACGCATAGGTTAAAAAAGATGGCCAATCGACATGAGGTACAAGTGCTGTGTTCGGCGCCCAATAAGGCCTATTCGTTGTGCCGCAGGGTTAATCAAGGGCAAACCAGCAACAGAAAGGTTTGTGGCACCAATCACAGGACGGTTTATGCCCAGTGCGACAAGGAGGTTATATACCACATACCCCTGACATGCGGCCGCTGTTACATCGGCCAAACCGGGCGGTGTATAAATGATAGGACCCGGGAACATGCCAATAGCTTGAAGACCTTGACGGCAGCAGGTCACTTAGCCCTACATTGCCGCGACTGCAAGTGCAAGGCGAACCTAGACAAAGTTACCGTCATGGGGCACCATCGAAACCGGTTTGCACGCGAGGTTTTAGAAGCTTTAAACATACAAGAGAAAGGGGACATGTGTGTTAGTTCACCCTCTGTGACCTTAACCAGAGAAGAGAGAACGTTCTTGCGAGGGGGAGTGCCGCCCACAAGTAGACAGACGAGGAGGATGCCTTAGTTAAATAATGAGGAAAAAGAGGAAGAAGTGAAGCAAGCTAGGTATGATTGATCCTAGCCTGTCGATGAAGATGAAGTGTTTCATTAAATTTCAGTTGGTAGTCCAGCGGTTGAATGCGTCTCTCTCGTCCTTCTTACATTTGTGTGCTTGGGTTGTTCAGCTGGTGTCTATTAAGTATGTGTAACCAACGTGCTCAACTCTTTCCGGCAGTAAAATAATTTTTTTTTGTTTCTGTACCAGTACTTCCGCATAAAAATCGCTTTCCAAAGCCACACGCTTGCGCCTTTGCTTTCGTTGACGCAGCAGATGCTCGTGTGCTAATAGAGCGGAGCTGCTCATGGTTTCAGCTTAAGTCCACACGCAGCCGAAGCTACAACCGCCAGCCCCGTACTTTCAGCTTCCCTGCCAAGCACGCGCGCTCGTGCAGTGCAAGCACCGTTCAAGGCCACATTCTCGCACTTGGACTAGCATCAGCTGCGTTCGAGCTTAAGCTGAAACGAAGTATCGTTTTTACAAGACAAGGTGGTTTCATTTCATTAAAAAAATGTTTACGAAGAAACGTTTTTACAGTCACGTTCTTTGTTGTGTAAAAGGGCGTCTCAAAAATATGAACAGGATCTTTTTTTTTTTTTTTTTTTTTTGCACTGAAGAAGTGAATTAGGCATCGCCGAACGATCGTTCCCCGCCTAAATGTAGTGCTAGCGTTCCCAACCAGATGGCAAAGTTTTAGACATAACATTTATATGGTACAGAATTCATAAGTGATTTTCTTAAACGTTTAATGTGAATATAACCGCCGGCTGGAGTCCTCAAAGACATAGCGCTGAATCGCGCCTGTTACCCAGAATTGGCCCCATCTACCCACTGAAATTTTCCCCCACGTTTTGACGCAATGCGTTAAGAAAGCGGTTTATGCGGCCCCTTCAATGAACCAGCGAACCATCTAACATTGTAAAAAAATAACATCGGTTGAAATGTAACCTTAGCGGCAACAACGCATTTTCTTTCTGTAAATGCTTTTTAACAACCTGATGAAGCATGCAAGTTACTCCGGGCGTACTCTGTACCGAAATGATCTGTTGGGCGAGTTGGTTATACATAGTATTAATTTTGTGCTTTTGGAGTTTATTTTTTGTCAAATTCGGAGGGTGCTTTTCGGAGTTTATTTTTTGCCCGGAGTTTATCGGGGTTTAGTTTTCTTTGATTTCCAAGTGTCTGAAGTTCAGAGTTTAATTTTGCAGTTGTTCCTATTAAAAATAAATAAGTGAATAATATCCGGGAGTAAACGTATGCTAGATAAAACATAAATAAAACGCGCTTGTTTTTTCCCGACCACTGGACGTCGAACCTGGGTGCTTGCTGATTCCGAAGAATAAAAACAACAACAAAAACGCGCTTGTATCAATTAATATTTTTTCAGCTGGATTTAGCGTTGGTAAAACCAGTATTCTATCAACCTACACGCGGTTGCGCGAGGTGAAGTCGTAAAGGATGTAATAAAGAAGTTTTAACTGCCCCTCTTCCCCCCCTTTTGTGCAATCTTTATGGTCCATGGCTTTCCCTGTTACGAAAACGCAACATCCCTTGCTTCTAAAGCACATATACTATGGCCCAAACTAATAACCAAAACAATCACATTTGTCATGACCGTAAAGTGCAATGACTTGTTGTCACGAATGAACCTTGACGAGATAAGCAGTAAGACCTCTTTTGAAAATGGTCCGAGACTTGAAAGATAACTATGGTGAGTTATCTTTGATTTTATAAACTTAATAGTAAAATACCGTCTTCTTTTCTTTTCCTTTTTTTTTTTTTCGGAAAAAAAAAAGGGGGGGGGGGGAGGAAGGGTTTTTGACACATCAAAATTTGGAGTTTATGGGAGAGTTGACAAAAATTTTACGAGCGAGTGTTTTTCGGGGTTATCCAAAAACACGAAACCCGAGTAATACATAATAAACACCGAAGCGCCAAGAGCGTAGACAGGACACGCTCTCAACTCTCAACTAACGCTAATCAGAATATTCGTGAGATCTTTCATAATAATGAAGAACTCGCTCAAAAATATTGTGGTTAATTGTACAGTTATATCATTACTGTGAAATTTAAAACGCCATTAGACTATTTCTTCTCTTTCGCAACCATTTCAATAAACGTCAGTTGTCCTGTCTTTCAGTTGTCATTGTCCTTGGCGCTTCAGTTTTTATTACTTACAATGTACATCATAAAATAAAAAGATATCACGACGGAAGCGCCAAGCTGGTTTATTAATGACTGCTTGCGGTGCAGAATAGAGGTCTGCGTTAAAAAAAATCCAGGGCTATAGGAGCGGCAAAAACATCCGGTCCACAATTGCACCTTAGCTGTACACCTACGAGGACTGGGTTCCATCCGGTAAAAATACTTCCTCTATAAACCTTTCCATAGAAATCTTACACACACAAAAAACTACGGGTTCATTTCCGAAGTAGAAAGAAAAACACAATTAACCTCCGCATGTCAAAATTATCAATAACATGGTATGACATTGATCTTATAAAAATGTGAAAAGAAACGTTTCATCTCATTTTTTGGGATTCAGGTTTGCGACTGGTTCAGCAGTTTTCAGTATAGTTTTTTTCTTTTTCTTAACATGTTGAATATCATCGCGGAACAACCTTACTATAAACTCCAACCTATTTCGTTGTAGAGCACTGCAGCGCCATGAGAAATCTCAGGGGGACTACTCAGTGGGAGAAATCGGAAGTCACTTGAGACGGCTTGTGTACGTAAACGCTCGCTTTCGTAGATAATGAAAAAAAAAAAAAAAAAATTACAGGTTGCTAAATGGTAGAGAAGTGTAATCGCACTGGTGACTTACCATGTTGGAGCAGTCAAAATTGACTCCGCGTGAACTGAGGGTGTGTAGGACCACGGGATCAGTAGAACATTTGACCGCTGAAAAAAGAAAAAAATATATATCGAACACCACGGATGAGTTTTTTACCCTGCGGGAGTGAAGCGACGGAAAGGGAAGTGGGTATTACCAAAATTGTAATGGAGCACAGTAAAAACAAATTACGAGCACAAATCCGTTACTAAGAACTGATTACGTGCGATATATCACTTTTTTTTCAAGTAATTCTAAAATTGTCGCCAGACATTTTCGCGCCAGTAATTAATCTACAAACATTTGTAGCAAATTGCGTTAAAATTACTCGTTCTTTTTATAAAACGTTAGCATTAAACAGTAAGCAAAGCAGAAAAATCAGTCGATTCAACGGCATAAAAAGCTTACTAATAAAAAAATAAAAGAGTGCAGAACGAAAGTCTGCGTGACGTACCGTCATCCTGCAGCTCCAAACTACCTGCAGGACTACTGGCAGAATAAGGTCATACAAGATAGATCCGCTCTCAACTTATAAAAACAAAACGACACGTGCCGTAAGCGAAGTGTTTTTTTTTTGTTTCTTTTTAAGCGTGCGCTGGAGCACGTTTTAATACAGGGTGGCATTTTAGCAGTCGAGGACTAATTCTCCATAGTTTCCGGCTTTTTACAATAATAATAACTCTCGCCCCATAAAGCGATCATGACCCCGTCCGCCGACTATGTTTTCCTCCGCAGAGTTTCAGAATGCTGCTTAAAATCCGGGGTCACACTGCCCATTCATCATACAAAAGACAGTCTGCAAACAGAAGTCACCGCAATATACGTGGTTCGAATGTCGCGTGCCAAGTTTTCTCCTTAAACTCATTGTCATGCGGCATTCGAAGCAGGGATCTCGCGGTGACGTGCGTTCGAATCTGTATGCAGACTGTCTTTTGTATGATGTATAAGCAGTGCGACCCCGGCTGAAAGAAGAAGGTTTTCGTCGACCCACGAGTTAACATGCAATTGACTCGCCAGAGCAGGTCTCGCTTCCAGTTGTTTGGCTACCATACAACTACTTAACGCGTTAAAACGGGATGCTTCTACCTAGTTACTTTTATCTGTAACGAGTAACGTATTTATAGTTACTTTTTTGGAAAAAGAACGAGTAACGTAATTAGTTATTTTCAATGCCAAGTAACGAGTAACGGCATTTCGTTACCTCTGAGAAGTAATGTGTACAACAACGTTTAAACAGCCTCGTTTTATTTGTAACCTGAGTATCCGTCTATTGCGATAAAGGCAGATCGGCAACCCGAGAGTATGGCAGTATAGCAACGTTTATCGCTGTACACTTCAGTTGAACTCTATACAGCTGGGAATGTCATTCACCCAGCGAGCACAATTCGGTTCGTTCGTTGAACCTTCTAGAATCGTGTACAGACCGCGTATGAACACGGAGGTTGCCAACGCCTTAAGACACAGAACCCATTGTCAACTTGGAACTTTGGAAGTAAAGAGAGAGCAAATGAGAGGGGAATCCCAGATTCACCAGCCCTCCCTGAAGCACAACACTGCCGTTCCGTCGAGCGCGTCAGTAAACGGCTCTTCAGCGCCGCCGGAGATGTATTCTCAAGGAAGCAGGGAAGCATAGCCGATGAAAACTTCGAGATGCAGCTACTGCTTACTTAGCAACGACTACTGAAAATAAAACAATAAGCAATGAACCAAGAGCAGATATCTATTTGGTCCTCAAAGTAACGAGAATAATAACTCGCTACTTTTGAGGTAAAATAACGCGTTTCTTTTGAGAATCGGTAACGAGTAACGTATTTAGTTACTTTTTGAGCGAGCAGCCAGTAACGGTATTTTGTTACTTTTGGGGGGGAATGTGTACATGTCTGAGGGGTACCAAGCGCGGTCCAGTGGGGCAGAAACTAATGTGTCAACGAGATACTGCGCCAAACGCCTTGTGCGTTACCGAAGTACTAAACAAAGAAATTAGCTCTTGCGAAATGAGATTAACAAAGGACCTCTCATAGGAAACCGATAACGTTCGCATTTTATCCTTCGCACGAGGAAGAAAATGGAAAAATCCGGTACCAGGCTACCGAATCGTAGTTTGATGGCAGTTCGTCAAACCAAAAAAAAATAAAAAAAATAAAGCGCGTAAGATTTACGAAATTCCCAGGATACTAACATCGTAATTCGCTAGCAAATAATCACGTGGAATTTTTGTTTTGTTTTTGTTCTAGTGCGCTACTTTTAAAGGGAAACTGAAGCTGCTCGGTATATGAGGAAAAACACTTAAATTGTCTTCAGGTGTCCTCCAGGATCACGAATATAGATTTTTTTTTTTTTTTTTTAATTTGGTGCACGTAGGTTTCAGAAAATCCTTTTCAAAGTACCGCTGAAGGCTCTCCTTCCAGGAGCGTGACGTCACAATAGGAGTTTTCGGAACCTCCGCTCTCGCGTATCTTAAGAGCCGTTCTTGCTATTTTCAAACATGGCAGAAAAAAGACGTTACGACGGATGTTAGGGCGGGGAATATACCTGGCAAGCTGGCAATTTCACACGCTTCCCAGATTAGCGATACGCGCTTGGCGGCCGAAAGATCCTAGTATGACGCCACGACTGGCCCGAGGTTTTTCATTTAGTTACATCTTCGGGAAAAGCGACCGTAATATTCAGATTCACGGGATAAAAATTCTCTAAAATTCACCTCTAACTCGTCCTTTTTTTTTTTTTTTCAAGAACCTGTTGAGTTGTTTTTTTAAAGCTTGGAAAAATTAGACACGCGAAGGCTACCATGATGTAAACGACACGACGGGATGCTTCTCAACACACCCTTTAACATTTGTATTCGAGAGTTTACGCACCTATAATATTTTAAAAAAAAATTCTAATAAAGTTGCATTAATTAGCCAGTTCGTGAAATTGAAAATATATCGGGGCATGCTTCATAAGGACAGTGTTGCGTTAGTTCGACTCGTGTTGCACGCAACTGCGTGTCTTGGCACAGGTTAGCTAAAACACACTGTATACCGTAACGCGGTCCAATCTGGCGTACCGTCTGCTCCGTCTGCTCCTCGCTCTCAATTTTTGTTTTATAAATGGCTGCTATGTCTAGGCCATACTCTGGGACAAGCACCTCAAATCATATTGCCTCTCTCTTGTCCACAGCCCTTTCACATTCAGGGTAGCGGCGCGCAATACGCTGGCTGACGGTGCCATACTCTCCAGAGATAATGAGCCTATAGGAGATTGCGCTAACAGAGGAGGTTACCGTTCAGGCTGGGGACAGGGTTCCATCCCTACTGTGACAGCCGGTCCTCACGAACCTCTGATGACGAAGAGCTCTGCTACGTATAGCGGCCTCTTTCCCACGATTTTCCACGGGGCTTCCAGGAGTCGGAGCGCCCGTTCGTCAGTGGCCAATCTCGCTTCCCCCAGCCTTCCCTTTGGGCTGCTTGCGTCACAAGACATGTGATCAATGTCAATGTTCGGCGTCGTTTCATTGGTCTTGCAGTGTTCCAACTGTTCCGCCGCCCTCACCGCCACTGCTTCATCAGTGATCGAAGTCTCACATTTTCCCGGGTCACAAGAAGGCTCGGCGGTTGTCGATACCACAGCTGTTGGCTTTTCGGTTGCTTCAGGGTCTATTGAATACCTCTGCGCGTCGACCTGTTGGCCCTCGGAGCCTTGACATGTCTTCACAATCCTCTGAAAAGACGCCACAATCTCTGATGTCGACTTTGGAGGAGCAGCCACACTGTTTGTAATTGCACGTTTCGTCTCCTCCTCGTCCGTCACCAGAGCTCCTCGTGTCTTCTTCATTAACTCCCCTCCCGACGGCAAGGGCGTAGGGTCGAACACAGTCCTGGCATTCGTGGCCGTAGCTGTGGCACTCACTGCTGCGATGCACTCTGCAGTCTCGTTGAATGTGTCCAGATTGCCGACTTCACAAGCATAGCGGCGCACGTCTCTGGACGACGAGCACAACATCCCAAGACACAAAGTTGGTGAGGCAAACGCTGCAGTGTCCTACCTTCTTTCAGCACAAAGCGTACAGTCCTTCTCGTAAATCGGACGCCTTCAAAACAATTGACGGACCACTGCTCACGATTTAGGTCCCTTACTGCACCGACGTCTTCCAGCGTCTTCGTGAGCGTGTCGATTGTTTTATAAAACGGTACCAAATGCCAATTGAGACGTATCTCCCGCCGACAAGGATCCATTGGCATGCACCAACTTCCTTTTACTTGAAAATTTCCCGATGGCATCAGTTGATCCTTAGCCGTAGTGGACTTGAGACGGAAGGTCCAAACGTGTCCCCTTTGGAAAACTCCAGTACCGGCCATCTCTTTGAGAACACCTATTAGGTGCAAAGGTACTCTACAGTCGTCAATACGATATGGTCTCTTTCCTCTGCATGCAAAAATACCGTGCATTTCGACCAATCACTTGTGTCTAGTACGAGTAGAAAGAACTTGTAGTCAGCCGGACGATCAAATTAACTGGCGCCACAGCCAAACGATACCTTCTCAGAGGAACTATCATTACTCTTCGAAGATTCTCGGCTAGGCATAGCCATCATAATCCAAACCCTGAGACGCAAGGAAATAAACTAACGGAAAAGATGAGACAGAATTAAATATAGCTTCTGTGTCGTCTTATGCGTTATTTTTCTTCCTCGGGTATCAGGTTTTAGATTATAATATTTTCTAACCAGCAACCCTGAAGATTTTCGCTTCTTCCAATAGGCGTAGCCGTTGAATTTGCCTGGACAGAGTTCATTTCGAACGCGTCCTGTTCGTCGTCGTATTTGAATTACGGTCAACAATTCCGCCTTCCGTGGCAAAGCATTATTCACTGGCGGTTATAGCTGTGTGCGCGACTGCTGAGCGCGTGCTCATGACAGGCATCCACAGTTCTTTGCATCGTGCATTCAACACCATCCAGATTGCCGGTCTTGGCAACCTATAATGTGCGTAAGTTCTGAGTATGCGCTCTGAACAGCGCCCTCAAATATGGCGTCCAGTGAATTTCCCTTGAAGCAATGCTATAGGCACCTGTGCGCTGGCGCTCGTGGCGCACCGAATAAACTGTATACGCGCGAACTCTTCGGTGCAGAAAGTTAATCCCGGGTATAGTCGCGTGCATTGTAATTTTCGCTCCATTTCATTGAATTGCGCCACCGTATACTTTTGAGAAACCTTCAGCTCCTTGTTATCCTTATGCATTTTGTCAATTATTTACCCAAGAAACTGCATGATGCATTCAGGGAAGGTCATGACTCGAGCATATGGCATTCGAGAAAGCTTCGATGTGCATGAGCAACCACCGCAACCGTTCTTTCCTATGGTATTATGGAATAGTGGTTTTATCTTTTTTTTTTTATTGGGTAGTCACATTTTTCAGGAAACTGGCACAGGTCCGTGCGAAATAAATTTTAGGAACCATACCGTAGAACGGGGTGATCCCGGGCAGTTCTTGCCGCCATAAGTCCACTTTGTGCTCCAAGTCTCTGACGTCACAAACAAAGAATGCTCCATCTGTTGTCTGCGAAGAGGTCGGCATTGTATTAAATCTTTGATGGGAAACACTGTCATGCTCGCCCTGACATTGAGAGCGTTTCTTTTCTTTAGGCTAGTATACGTCTTGAGGGTATAGTCTATCTTGTCTTAAACGCTTTGACCATACAGCCGCACACACACTGCTCGTATACATCATATGCAAAGACAGGATGTTCGCTATGATGAGAGAATTACCTGCAGAGACGCCTGAAGCGCGTTCCAAGCATGTTCTCCCCTCCTGCATATTTGTGTGCATGTTTGGCACATGTCTTGAACCTATTTTTATGGCCAATGTGACCTTCTCACGAGGAAGAAACTCGCCTCAGATGCAGACTGTCTTTTTGTATGACGCGCGGGCAGAGGGACAGCGGCCTTTAAAAACATTTAGACACTCGACCATGTTCCTCTATAACGTTAGGGGACAAAAGACGCAAGATTTCAACTGTATACCTGTTGCTGGATGACCTTTCGAGCCACGGTGCTTATTTTTTCATCGACGAAGACAAATGGCTCTGTGTCGTTTCCCATCTCGCGTGTCCGACCCTGATCCTAAAAAGAAAAACAACGCACACACGCAAAGTGTTAGAACTGAAAATGACATGGGTCAGCGCAGTCGCAATGATCAAACGCAATACAAGAGGACACACGGTGTTCGCTGCAGACGTAATGGCAGACAAGCATCACGCATGTTCGAAGCATATTTGTTTCATTGGATTGGATTGGATGTTAATGGCTGTACCCTCTGTAATGGGCAGCAGCTTGTGCCACCTAGCCAAAGTCTAAGTTTAAGCATTGTGAACATGTCTGCAGACAGTTTTTGCATGACCAATGGGACCGTTGTACGAGCAGAAAAAAAAACGTTTTAAACAGCCTTTGCAGTCTGTGACCGCAGCTTTAAAACGTGGAATACTGCTTTATAAAGGAGCCCGTATCCAGAAACGTGTCCGTCACTACCCCATAAGCAGGGCATGTCAGCACAACTGGTTAGGCTACCATGGTGCATCATGGGCAAAAGCAATGGGTGCAAGCGCTTATTACGAAACCAACATGTGCTTCTCAGTCCGCCGCCACAACGAAGAGCGTGTTCAGAAAAGCTAGTGAAGTCGTTGATCGACGAAGGGTACAGGTCAAGATTAAAGAAAGAGTAAACATGTAGGACAAAGACAACACAACCACGTATTTCGATGAAAGGTGTCGTTGCCTTGTCTTTGTCCTGCATGTTTATTAATCCTTAAACCTTGAAGTTAGTTAAGAGACCGGTTCTGGCACTCTGATTGGCGCGTTTTTACATCGCGTCGCCCGGTTTACGGGCACAGAGAGAGGAGGGAGAAAAATAATACAGGTAAACACGCATCGGTAATTTACGCTTTAAGGGCGATTCGCACACTTGCGTCGAGTCTGATTGAGTGCAACTGTAACCGGTTTTCACGCCTCTTACTACCGCACCGTGCAGCAGCAATGACGGTCGTAAGCGGCTTAAAACCCCGTTGCCATAGCAATCTGTAAAAGGATTACATTGCAGTCGCATTCGGTCGGACTGACGCACGCGTGTGAGCCAGTTTTTAGCCTTGGACGGCTCTCAGATTTGCTTATCTGATATGCGTGAGGAAATCTGGGAGCCGGCTAAAGGCTGGAGGCGCGTTTACCTAAGCCCCGGACACCCCTCTCCCGTCCCTCTCCGCCCCGTAAACGAGGTGACATGGCGTACATAAATACGCACCCATCAGAGTGCCTGACCTGCTGAGTTGCTTTACAAGGTCTCCTAAGTACGAAGCCGGGATTGTTTGTCACGTGAAACGTGCTTCGTCTCGTCGGGGGTGGGAGGTTTAGAACTTTGTGATGCCGAAAATTGAAACCGCCGATCAAGGGTTAAAACCACTGATCTCTATTGTAGTAGGCTGGATATTGGATCGGGAGCCCGTTGGTGGCACCACCGGTGGCCATTGCTTGACACCACGTAATGCACGCGACGCAAGTCTATGGGAGAAACACACGAAAGTAGGAATATTGAAGCTTGTACACTGAGCTTGAAGGCAAGAATTTTATGATGTATCGTGATCATTATATCGGGTGTTTCGAGATTGAATCGGTATTTGTCAAGCGTTTGAGCACCCATTAAAAAATCAAACGTGCCGGAGCACTTACGGCTAAGCTGGCAAGCTTGCTCTCGTAGTGGAGTAAGCAGAGGAACTTGCCGTCAATAAGACCGTCCTCAAGGAAGCCCAGAAGTTGATTAATGTTGACAGCGGTTTTCCGGGAGTGAGCAAATTTCGCGTAGCAAAGACGTTAAGCTTGTCGTCTGTTAAATTCAACTCATCGAAACCGCCGCCGACTCCTCGGTAAGTCAACGTAACTCTTGTCACGGCCCGACTGGAAGCGCGCGCTCTCTTTTTCCTCTTACGGCCTTTGCAATTTGGGCAATCGCCACCTCCCGCCGCTATTCGCGGGGGGCGCTGTTACCTCACCCCTGGGCTACCCTTTGCCGTTTGCACAGAGTCCGTCTGACAGCGTATCTCAACACTGTCACAACTTGCGGCCAAGGTTTTTATAGTCTTTGACACCTGATCCTTAAGTTTAGACCCTCAGCCACTATCTAACACACTTCTGATGAGCCCAAAATGGTGAATATTTGACGCACATCTCCGTGACATTCGGCAGCAAAAAACAGTAAGTAGAGAAAGCGAATTCAATTGCGTAAAGACTATACTCGTCTTTACCTCCAGGACTTCTGTCAATTCAAGAACAGGAGGAGACGGACCCCTTCTATGTGTAGGAACTTTAAATGATAAATAATTCGTACGCTCTCGTGAAAAGTAAGCAGGCCCAATATATCCATTACCGTGGTCTGCATCATTATTTCATAGGCCGCACATAAAGTCGGTCAGCTGCTCTAGACGAAGGCGTGATAGTCTGTGCAATTTTGGCACAGTGCAAATTACAGCCTAAAGCGCTTCCTCGGGGGCTTGTGCAGATATCCAGCTGATTTTTAGTTTCTGTCAGTGATAGCCTTTGCATGGTTAATCAGTAGTACCCTGCGGAACTTGTTGCAAATTAAACCAGCCAAGCGCTTTCAGTGACTGTTGTCAATCCCCTCTGGGAAACTTAGGATTGGCGCATCTTCAAGATAGGGTGCAATGAGTAGCTGCAGAACTTCGTGCACATTTGTACGCGGTAGAGTGACTTAAATCAGAGCGAAGTTCAGTAAACCGCTGCCAACACAACAACCTACGAAGCTCGAACACCAGCGCAAAGCAGCTCGAAGGGACTTTCCGAGATGGGTGAAATGGGGTGAGGTGGTTGAGCCCCAGGTGGCAATCAAGTGAACTACATACGGAGAAACAATTCCATTGACTCCCGGGCGATTGCAAAGGCCGTAAGAAGAGAAAGAGATCGCGCGCTTCTAGACCGGCCGTGGTTCTGCTTGTATACTTTAGTTTCCCATGTATTACTCGCAGGGCCTGTCATTGGTTGTTAATTAATGTGCCCGACCAATGTAAATTTTGATCCGCGTCATGCTTCGAAGGTTAAGCAGTCTTAAAGAAAAATTAGTGAATGCCGTTTTCGTTTCCAGAATGCCGTTTAGATCGTAACTATATCGCTGTTTTAATTAAGCGAACAAATTAGAGAAAATGGGAATTTAGGTGGCGTTTCGCTGCTACAGACAACGCCGGCTTTGCTCTATGGGACCAGTTAATGCTTTCGCATTAAAAATGAACTAATACTTGAGTGATGCTGCAGACAAAAACCAGGGAAAATAGAACGAATTTACCTACCATGCTGTCGCTGTGTGATTTGGCGGAGATGATGTTTGCGGGGCTAGCGCGACTACTTATGTTATGCGTACGGTATGTCGACATATTCTGTGTTCCGTAGTCGTTTTTCAGCAAAACAAAAAACAAAACAAAAAAATAATGCAAAATTTTTTTTTTTTTTACTTTAGAAACAAACTGTTGTTGTCCGTATACGCACCTGCTCTGCTTAGCTTAGTCGGTTAATCTAAATAGTATCTGGCTGGGATTGGCATGGTCTTAAGTTCTATTTCCACTGGGAGTATGTGTTTGTGTTTTAGCTATGTCCCCCATGTAGTCTATAAATTTTATATGCATGCAATTAATTATCTAAAAATAAATTTATATAGCGTGTGTTTCCAAAATAAGACAAGACTGGGTTCAAAGTGTTCATTGTTGAACACACATAACATCGAAAACTCTTTAAAACGGTCACGATATGCAAGCGAGAGTGTTTTCATCTATGTCTGCGAAAAATTTTAATTATGTGCTTCGATTTGTAAAATTAGTGCATTTGCAGTGCAAAATGTAATTTTGTTATACAAGAACTTCGAATTGTGTAGTAGCAAATCTAATTTCGCTATAAAAGTACTACGAAATTAGTAGCGAGAAATGTAGTTTTGTGGTACAAATACTACGGAATTTGTAGTAAAAAATGCAATTTTCTCGTCCGCATACAGCGACATTTGTATTTAAAAACGTAATTTCAAAAAACAAATACTTCCATTTTTTTACACTGGAATAGCTAATTTTGTGATACAAATAGCTCAGAAGTATTCGCAGGAAATACGATTTCGTAGTACAAACCCTACGAAATTTGCAGCAAGAAATGCAATTTTGTGGTATGTATACAGCGAAAGTTCTCTGAGGAAATGCAATTTCGAAGTACAACTACTACGAAATTTCTTAGTGGGAAATTTATGTGATTGTCAGCTACAAGTACCCCAAAAAATAGTAGGGGAAATTGGATGATTTCTTGGTTCGAACAATAAGAACTTTTCCACAAGCGACTCAAGACATATTCGCACACAACGCCACTTTTGTTGCGGTGTAATTTTCAGAAAAAAGCTAGTGTTTTCTTTTAATCTTTCATTTTCAAAACTTTATTGATGACATAGATCGGGGGTCGCGGTGTTGTCATAGTCCCCTGAGTGACCATATTTGAATGTCGCTTATTAATTGAACCCCAGCATCGTGTGAGCACTAGATTTGTGCTCGCAATAATATCTCGACAAGCATTTGGGTAGTCGGCTCGTGTACAACCGTGGCAACGAAAGCACCGAACTCTAACAATTTCTGCAACTCAGTGCCATAGCCTCCTCTATACTCACAAAGCCTGGCAGATCGCTACGAGACGTGGCCGCCGAAATAGATCGATCTCATCAAGCGTTCTACGCATGCGTGACGCCGCCATAACTGTAGTTCGTAGGAGGCAGATGCCAGTTCACGAGACAGCTCATGCCGCCTCGTGCTCTGCTCGCGCAGACCTCCAGCGGAATTGTTGTGCGTGCAGAAAGACTACAGCTCCCACAATGCATGGCGGCAGCGGTGGCGTACTCACACTAGCTGGTGAGATCTGTTTATTGTAAAGTTAGAGTGGCAGACAACGGATGAGGGGAGAGGCATGTAATGGGCGCCCCGCTGCAGCGAGATGCCGAGACACAATTGTCCCGAGCCATGGAATGTACGCCCGCGCTCCTCGCATTCCTAGCGCTACCACTTTTTTCCTCGTCGGGTTTG